TCACCGTTGCAAGTGGATACTCCGCCAGTCGTGGCGATGCAAATGTTGCCGCTGGTTGCATACGTTGTGCCATATGTTGCAGCGCAAGCAGCATTGGTAATCACTTGCACGATGGCATATTGCAAGTAGTTGGTCACACTGGTAGCAGAATCACTGATACGTCCCCAACCGGAAGCGATGGCAGAATCACCGGCATAAGTGGAGTAAGAGCTAGAAACAGCAGGCAATGGAACAGCTTGGATTCTGCTAGTGTAGGACACTGATGGGATTTTTATGAGAGAAATATCGTTTCTCAACGTATTGGAGTTCCAGCCAGAGTGGATGATTATATCACTGCTCGATACGGTGTATGTAGCTTCAGCCGCTGTACGATAAGTTGAACCCAAGTAGACGGTAACATAAGAAATACTGTGTGGGAAAAAATGTATAATGTTAACTCAATCGCTCAAGTTAGTGCAATTAATTTTGTTGAGATATTTTTTTGTCTCAGTATTTACCCGTCGGTACAATGAGCAGCGGTAAGGACCCATTTGTTACCAATCAAAGAACCACCGCACCAGGCTGACGAAGTAGAGCTCACTTTCAATGAGAGACCAACTTGATATGGGAATTGTCCAGAAGCAGCAGTTAGGCCATTAGTAATACGTCCTTCAACGTTGTCATCCAAAACGGGAACAACTAGTTCCCTTTGGAAAATAGTTGGCGAAGCGTAGGCCGAAGCCAAGAGGAGAGCGAATACTACGAAGAACTCCATGGTGCTGTGCTTAATGGAGCAACTGATGTTTGTTGCATTTCAGTTCAGCGCTTTTATAGGGAAATTGAAGGAAAGCAATGAGTTTTTGGTAGCTTAAGAGCTTTAAACTATTTTTGATTTCCATTAATACATTGTATATGAAACAGTCAGTCACAGTCAAATCTATAGTTTTCTGTTAAGTTTATTTCTAATTTATCTTATCGAGTAGTGAGTAGTAGTATCACTGCATGTAATTCCCATGTCTTAAAAATTTGCAAACACCTATTTGTAAATGTCGCCTATAAGCGATTACATTTCATACCTGAGCGTAGTTATGCGTGAGGCTATTACTCGTATAACGGTTTCCATTGGTTTCTTTTTTGATATCTATAGGCGGTTTTTGAATTGTTGATTTTTGAATATCGCATAAAAAGGATTTTTTTTTATCGAACCAACCTTTTTTTTTTAATTTCATTCAAATCTTGAACTCTCAATAAAAGTTTTGGGTTTTCCCAAATTTTCAAGGCTTTTTCCTGTTTAAGGAAACCCCTAAATGGAGACATCTAAACTTTTACTCCATCTCTGAAGAACCCGTTTTATGGCAGAAGTGCTGTCGCGGGATTGCCATTGTCTGCCGAGGGGAGACCGCTATTTAATCCTTTTTTGATGTTGCTGGGACCATAAATTGAACCAGGCCAGCCGGCGTATGAAAGTATGTAAAATAAAACCGGTGTATCCTGGTTTTCCTTAATTTCAGAATACTGAACCGGTTTTTTGCAAATTGAAATTTTTCGAATACCTGGAAAACCGGTTTAGGAATTGGGCGAATAATCGAACACCCTAGAGTCGAAAGGAAATACATACAATTGTATACGCAAATAATTCGGCGATGCATAATTTTTGGCATCCAGTTTGCACTCTACTCCGTATTCGTATTCGCCTTCGCGCTCGCCTTCGTTTTCACATTTTCCTTCACCTTTAAATTCGTATTCGTGTTTTCTCCGCCTTCGTGCTCACATTCGTCTTCATTTTTTGTTCTGGTCCGCGTACTCATGTTCTGCTACGGCTTCGTTGTTGTTGTCGTTGCGGCTAAAACAACCCCGCTCTGATCAGATAGTCTCTCAGTCGTCGTCGTCAAGCTCAACTAACGACAGATCCAAGAAGCGTGCAGCCTCCATAGGGACAGAGGCGTCAGTTGAGTGGGGGTTTTTGGGCATGCGAAGAGATGTTTCGATTCGTAGGGTGTCTATCCGCATGCCGGACACTCATTTGGCACATCCGAATCTAGGCTGCTCAGGTACGTAGCCAGAGCGAAGTTGGGCTATTGTGGTCTAAGACTGCCGAGGTAGACGAATCTCCGTTTTGTCTACGTCAGGTGGTTGCGTGCCCAGAAAGGCGTTCACAGGTCTGGAGTCTACGTAACTGGAGACCGACTCCCTGTGTATGCCGCTCAGCCTGTTGATATGCTCTCTGGTTCAGAGGTTGCTTTATGAACCTCTGGACTTCCTCCGTCAGTTCGTATGGATGGCTTCGGACGTGCCTTGGCCAGGGTTGCTCTGCAAGCAAGTGTCTGTTCGGATGTCCACGTCTGTGACTCCCTACTAAGAATTGCTTGCAGAGCATTGTGTTGTGCTCCTTTATGGGGAGAATTTGCGCCTCGTCATGCAAGTGATGTTGTAACGACATCAGAAAACATCTGGTCGCTGTCCGGAGTGCTGTATTCTGTGTTGTCTGAAGCTTCATCCACTGCGTCCTACAGGCCCCGGCGCCTACACTGTTGCTGCGTAGTTTAGAACCGCCCGGCCAATTGCCTTGTATGTTGCCAGCAACGTTTCTTTGACTTCGCCCCAGGTGCTGCCGGCTAGCGACTTGAGGACCTTGTTGCGGTTCTATACTGTGTTGACAATTGCGGTTATGTGCGCGGAGAAGGGGAGCAGACTGTCGAATGTTACTCTGAGGATTTTCGGGTTATTCACCGTCGGAATTGGTATGTTATCAACGTGAATACCCAGCTGCAGTCTGACCTTCTTCGTCCAGGTGGTGAATAGGCTAGCTGAGGATTTTGTAGCGGAGAGGGTTAGGCTCCTAGCAGTGAAGAAGCGAGAAAGATCGGAGGGGGTAATCGTTTACTTTCGAGCACAGGTCATCAATTCCATTCCCAGACGGTATTATCGAGCAATTGTCAGCGTAAGAGACAATTTAGACTCCCTCTGGTGGTTAAGGGAGCTTAGAAAAATAACAGTTACTGGGCTACTAAATTTGTCTCTAAACATTATTGACGAGTGTCGACCACTCAGATAATTTCTCGACCATCGTTTGAGTCGCTGTGGGAGAGAGGAGGCCTCCATGTCTTCTAGTAGCGTGGAGTGACTGACGTTATCAAACACCTTGGCAGATCCAACGCTACTAGAACACTTCTCTCACAGGGGCGGTTGCGGTCTGGGCAACGTGTAATCTGACTGCTTATCGCGTTAATGGCTGTCGTTGTGTTGTGCATTTTATGGAAGCTCTGGGTCAGGTGGATCGTAAAATACCGGAGTAGCAAGGCCTCTAGTGTCCTCACTGCCGGGGAAAGGAGGGTTATCGGGCGATAAGACTCTCCTTTGTTGGCTGGTTTACCCAGTTTGAGAAGTGGGAGCACTCTCCCCATATTTCAAATGTCCCAAATTTTCAGCATTAGCATGCATATTCCGTCGGGTCCCTTAGTTTTGGGGGCTTTCGCCCTCCCGATGGCTACCTGAACTTCACGGAAAGTGAAAGCAAGAGACGCACTTGCTTTGCTTTTTGGCTAAAATAGCTCGTGCATCGATGCGGGGCGGTCCTCGAAAGAGACTTCAACTCTGGACAGTAACCTCACAGTTGACCAATGCTTACTTAAATCAGTGGTGACGTTGCAAGTGTTCAGATGCTCTTCCTACTTCTTCCGCTTATGTACGTTCACAAGCTGCCGAATCTCCGCATTGAGATCCCTGATACGGAGATGACGGCTTGACGAAGGTTGCCACGCTCATCGGCAAGAACAGCCGCTTTAGCAGGAAAGTTCGGACGAAGCGAGCTGCAGTAGCAGTGACAACCCTGCTTAACTTACGCTCACCTACGTGAACGTCGGTTAGTGTGGGGAGGGCAGAAAAGGTGACAGCGCTTACAATTGTTATATCTGGCGAGCGGAAGCAGCTGCCCATAATCGTGGTGGGTGCGTCGTCTTCAATTGTGCAGAATGTCGAGTCGTCTATCTGCTCAGCCAAGTGGTCATTTGACAGGCCTGAATGCCAAAGATCTTGGGGCGCGTTAGAGTCGCCAACTATGTACCGTACGGGTTTCGACTGTGAGGAGCACACCTGTTTCAAGGTGATATAAACATTAAATATTTCGAGCTCGATACATTCTAGGATGGTATCCGCGGCCGATGTCTGCTTCGATGAGACGATATTGCACGGTGTGGTGTGTGATGAACACTAGGCCACCACCATTATCTCGCTCGCGATCTCGACGGTATATGCCTCGTATACGCTTTCATCTTCTTTGTCTTTTTACCCTTAGCCCCTTTCTTAGGTTTAGCTTTAGCCTTAACCTTAATATTACGGGAGGCGGAAATAGAAAACAGGAAAATGGATGTACTAGCATTGCCTCTCATTCATTCTCATCTTCCAACTACAAAGCAAATGTACGGAAGCAGTCGTCGACGATACATATGGTTAACACGTAGATTTCTCCGCAATCCGTCCTATCAGGGCTCGTATCTAGTTTTAATTTAAGTTGTTAGCTTCTACCATGTTATCCGAAAACTTTCCAAATTCAGCCAGTCAGCTCCAATTGCAGTTCTTTATTTCTACCCTGCTAGCCGAAATCTTTCAGTGCGCGATTTATATTAAGCTCGACGCGCAAGTTTCCTATATTAGTTTTATAAAGTTACCTCTAGATATTTCATTTCCACAAAGACTTCAGTTTACTCCTTTAAGCACCGGAAGGTTGAGACCTTTCAAGCTTCTTTACTGCATAAATAAGACTACAGTTGTATTTATTAGGGTGACAGCAACACCCCTCATCAATCTTATTCCAGATCCTCAGTGCCTTGACGCTGACCTGCCTGAGGGGTTTCCCAATACTAGTGCACATTTCCATTAATAAGCAGTTCACTACCATAGCCCAAAAGGGAGGTAAGAGTACGCTGCGCTGAGGTTATCCTCTGCCTGCAGCTGTCACGCTACAAAGGACAACTTCCTACCACATAGTCAGCAATCTTCTAGATACCTCGGAGTGTATCCATTTCATAACTGTTCCGAGTGGTATAATATCCTTCAGAGAATCAACCCTATAGGCCCGTCCACACACAACGCAACGCCAAAGTTGTATGGGGACGGGCCTTAACTGTTAAGCACTGTTGAAGTAATACCTTGTACAGTCTACCGACTGTTCTCATATTTAGACCGTTATATTATTGAGTAAAATACATGCCGTTAGTCTATGTTCATTATCGTTCATTTATTGAAATCGCAAAATTTAAATGCCAGAATTGGTTTTGATCCAGTCCCTGAAAGCAGTTACACGACTGAAGGCAGCGGGGTAACCCTTAGCGCAGCCGGCTGAAGAACCGTATGAAGTAACACCGATCAATAC